ATTGTTTAGTTTCCGACGTCCGGTTGAATAGTTCTGCAAGTACTTCAATTACCGGCTCATCTTGTTACCGATAGCCAGTTGAATGCGATTTGTAAGCGGTCTTTGCACAAAGTTCCGTTAATCTAGCTCGAAACTTCTACCTGTTTTATTAACACATCGTTAGTTTTTGTGAGCTCTTCTTTTGTTCATTTCATCATTTTTCTGCTAAGAATTTTTCAGCTGTCTTACTTCAAACAGGATCGTTCGCAGGAAACAATCATCAGTAGTCCTACGATCAGCTATTTTCTTGATCGTCCTTTTACTCTCGTCACCATTTGCACTGTCTATTTCTTGTGTAAAATCGTATAGGGACAACATTTAGATTCATATAGGGGCATTGCAAGTTTTTGATAAACTGCCATTAGAGATATGACACTTCATGCTTGTTTTCCACCCATCATTGGTGGGCTTTTTGCGGTTTAAACAAGTAGACTTCACCTGTTTGTTTTCCATTAAGCGTGGTCATTCTTTCATTTTAAGGTTGTCTTTTAACCTTGAAAATTAGGTGTCTCTGCAGAGTTCGTTGAAATACATGTTCGAACCTTTGGGTGATATTATTTAGATTTCTAAGGATTGGGTCTAGAGTTATTTTATTTTGCTTCCATCCCTGATGTTTGACTGGAATAGGCAAATGGCTTTTTGCGTTGAAACGGGATAAGATGCACGCTTGTATAAATCTTTACCTGTAAACCTTAAGCTGTAGTGTAACCTTGCATTTCTATAGAGAGCAAGACAGTTTTGCAAAACTCGTATCGGCCTTATACCAGGGTCACCGTTTTAAAAACGATAAGACCCCTATTTTTTAATGGTGTATCAAGATAGTCTCATAAAACAAACATATATAATAACAAAAAAACTACACCAGGTTAATAATAAGTAAAATAATATTAGATTGAAAAGCCCTAGGTTCAATCCAGCATCGATAGAAGTATAGTAAATTGCGTTGCTAACTGAAGGTCTCGTTGCCAATTTGGGCGGATTATCGACGCTGAGAGATGTCATTCCCTTCGCTTCAAACAACTAACAAAAATTCAACGAGAGAAAAATGGCTGAATGGTAAATATATCATACATAATAAGAATACGGAAAATACAAAAGCAAATTTAATGAAGACTTGAGAATAACTTTTTGAAAAAGAAACGCGTTTAATAAACCAACGATTGCTCATAATGATGTAATATTGTTAATAACTTCAGCTGAAAATCTTAATACCAACGTCATTAGCAAAAAAAATTCCACCAATAACTGTAAGTAGATAGTTTAGTCTTCCTATAGTTAATATGAGGAAAACAAAACCGGTCACCAACCGGGATCAAGCAACGACGAATACTATTTTATAAATAGATATTGACGATGTTATTGTAATGAATGGCAATCTTTCAGCCTTCAAAGCGTTTGCTTACTCACCACTCATAAATCTGTTCACACCCTACAGAAGGGGCTACAGAGTGCTACATAGTAACGTCGGCTGATACATTGTTTCCAATGTAACTTAGTTCAAGTTTGCTATTTCATACTTCGAGGAGGTTCATACTTCGTGCCAACATATATGCTCGAGCGATTCAAATTTATTATCCCATAATCGTTGCTTACCGCCTCATACACTACGTATATATATATATACATATATATATATATATACATATATATATATATATATATATATATATACATCTATGACTAGTATTTATTTGATCTCTCATCGTTTCGCCTTCTTTATTTTTCGGAAAAATGCCTGGCTCCCCCTTTATCTGACGTCCCCTTCTCAGTTTCATCGCCCTCCGCAGTCCTGCCCATCTTGCTCCCCACTCCTGATGTGAAATGATCGCTTTGCTTTTCCTCCTTCATCTACGCTCGCTCGGACGCTCAAATATATCAGCTGCCACTGCAATGTAGATGTGAGCGTGGCTGTATGCACATACACATTGCTCATGCAGGGTGCACGTTATACGCAGAGATATGAAGTCGTGGTTTGTCCGGAGCACAACGCGTGGCGTCTTAGATGTCATGACTTAGCTCCCTGGCGGCTCGGCAGTTTGGGGTGATATGTTCAACGGAATAGGACAGAACAACTCCTCTGCTTTAGGACTAGTGCCATGTGCTTCATTTTGTAGTGCCGTGCCCGACTATCGCTCAACGTTACCACTGATCTAAAATCGAGCAGTGGGTTTCTATACCTGCATAGGTATAACCGTCTGTTCGTTTGACTCTCTCGCGCAGCATGTTGCCTCTATCGGCTCGTAAGCTGCCCCCGGCAGGTTTGCTTGCAGCAGCGTTTATTTAGTATTCGCATTTGGTTTGCTAGAGTATTTCAACCACAACTTTCGAAGTTCTCGAGAAATGTAAACTGAAAAATGCGGCCCTTGTCATTTGCGTGCGATCGCCTGCGGTTCTCTTCTGGCAGATGGACGACCCGTTATCTATGAAGGCATCGATTCACCATAAATACGTATGTCCTATACACATCTTGGGCTCATCGAATTGAAATGACTGTATTATAATGGCCACCGCTGTCGTCTCCACTATCGATATTGGCCGTTGCTGTTTGAAATAAGAAAGATGGAATTGATATCTGCGTTTTTTGGTCCACTGCGGGCTAAATTGTCGCAGCTTAAAGAAACTGTACAGCATTACAGTTGGCGGCAAAGTTACGCCTGCCCGTCCACGAGTTATGCTGAAAATTATCTTGTTATCAGATAATAATGAGCGGCCAGATCTGCGACGATAGCGCCGGTAATCTTTCTATGCTTAAATAATGGAAACGAAAAGAAGGATCGTTTCCGTTAGACATGGAGACATCCCTCTAGAGTTCTTTTAGGATCGACTAAGACACAAATCATAAAATACATTATTAAAATGCTCATGAACTATAATTAGTCAGACATTTTACTGAAGCAACAATGGACAGTTCTATTAAGTGGTACCATTATAGATGTATTTTTCCTAGGAGGTACTGGTTGTGTGTTGAAGATTAGAGGACCTATAGGCTTTTGTGCTTGTGACTTTGCTTTCATAAAATATACAACAAAGCAATGTTAACAACGAAGAACGGCACCGATATTCGTTGTTAACATTTGCCCAATAGAAAACCTGGATAGCAGTCGTATCTTAACTGTACATAAACATCTGCTTGCTATACATACGTACATACATACTCATAACGTGCAATTTATTGTAGACACAGAGATAGTAGACTAAGCTGGTACTTCATGTGTAGACATTTTTATAAGTTTTCACATGCACGTACACGTGCGTGCATACATTCGTACGAATACATGTACTCTAGTACTGAGAATGCACTTGTGCGGGCTCATCAGCTAGCGGCCTTGCTTTGACTTCATACTGCCGTTCTGGTTCTGTTCCTACGCAGTTGATGCAAGCAGAGAGGGAGTGGGGACTCAAATACGGCTTGGTAGGCCAGACAGCACCGTAATCATACGATATAAAGCATGTGGTCTTAAAGGCTTGAACCTCGGGCTTAGTCAGATTAACGCTCACGTATCCGTTTTCGTCGGCACCCCATTTGCTTTCACTATGAAAGATTAGTATGGGTAAGAGGACTCGGGCAGGTGAAGTTGAACTCAACAACAACAGACAGAGACAACTCTCGCGCCAAGCAACGGGTAAAACTCCATGGATAGCGACAGGTTAGCAAGTGAACTCAACCATAGCCGCTACTGGCAGAACTGCAATTTTTGTTGCGATGCTATTGCAACAAAGACGCGTTCCTCGACAGTAGACGCTGCCATCGGAATTGTAACGCAGCTGGCAGCAGCGGCAGTCGCCACCAACGCTTGTGGTGGTAATAGTAGATCCAGACGTCCAACTGCTGCGGTTGGTGTCGCCAATATGTCTCGCCACTGAGACGCCAACAGGCTGAACTCTCGGAAAACCCGCGGCCAGGAAATTATAATGTATTGAGTATCTCGTTGGCGTCTTCACATCAGAATGCCTTGGTGGACATTCGCAATAGCTGACAGATGAACGCATTCTCATTGCTGCGCACTGTCCGTTTTGCACACTTTTGGGTTTGCTAGCCCACGTTTTAGTTCTCATGGCTACACAGAGGCACTGTGGTGCCCAGCAATGCAGTATTAGATGACTAGCATTTTCATCCATACATTTACGGAAAAATTTCAGTACGTAGCCAATAGATCCGTCCGTCGTTGATCGCTGCTGCGATCAGCGAGTAGTTTCATCTAGCGTTCGACTCAAGTCCCTTTCACCCGAGAACGTATACGTCGTTTCGGTTAGGAAACGCTTCGAGTGCTCCTGTAAATGGTCGTGCAGCGTACCTTACAGGATAGGTAAGTGTTAGTGATCTTAATTGTGGTCGGCGGATACCGTTATCTGCAAGCGGCTATTAATATTAAGGAGATGTGATAGCAGCGTCGGTGGGGTAGGAAGCCCACGTTCTCGGTATGAATAGACCGTTTATCGTAATCTAGACGACGAGCATGCCACTGATGCCCATAACAATGGAAGGAAGGAGATATAGTCAGTGGAACAGTGTATTGGCTGCTGTTCGGATAAGAGATAACTTGCCGAGTCGTCTACTTCCGTTGTTTCGCACGAAGTAGGAATGGCGGATTCGGATATCTACGAGCTGCTCTTCCACACGAGTCAAATAACTTTAAGCCGCTCTCAAGTTTATCAGTTGGTCCAATAGCTTTCGTCATTTAACGCCGGAGCCTGTGCATTTGCTGGAACTTGAAAGGTAAACAGTCTACGCGGACACTGCGGGTCATTCGAGCTGGGCTCGACCGCTGTTGATCACTATTATTACTAATATTATGCGATTAATGGGATCCAGGTAGACTTTTTTCAGGTATATTTTTGGTTTCAATTCAAGATCAATACTGGGTGACCAATCCGATGTATTATACCGGTAATTGCGGATATGGATCAATAATGTTCCTCCCTCCTTTGATTTATCGCTTTCATTATAGTTCATAACAAACCTCTGATCGATGTCCTCGCATGTTATAGTTTGTTCTACTTGGCTGATCTGACGTGCGCCTACAATGACATGTCGTGAATGTTACTCCGACGATGCCTGAAAAGTAGAGAATAGAAAATTACTTACTACAAACATTTTATCATTTCACGGTCAGTGCAAGGTGCGGATACATAACAATTAGTAAGAAAAAGCCTACTGATAGACACAAATAACTAGCTCAATACGTTAACTCGCTTCTTCGCAGTTCCTTGTACGCCCAACTGGCTCCGTGATAGCGTAGTATCTGCATACAAATCCTGATGACGTGTCGCGGTCGAGGTCCGCGTCCAGCCGTAAGAACAGCGATGGTCTAACAGCGATAGAAAACGTAAAATTTTTCAAATATAGAGATAGTATTAAAATGCTATTATTCGGTAATAAGCACATTTCTGAGTCACATTATGATATCTTGAAAGAAATGAATATATCACTACCAAGGACTACATATAAATCATCTAAATTACACGGTTTAGTCGAGTGGGAATTACCACGGAACCCGTTCGTATATACAGCGGTTACATGTAAAGCACCAATATTATATACACCTTTCGCGTTCAGCTACTTGAATTCCAACCGAATACAGTGGCTATGCTCTAAATTCGTCACCGTCGACCTCTGTTTTGTGGGTGACAGATCATTGCAAATGGAAACGCGACAGTTTACCAAGGCGGCAGATAAAAACATCGTCTGAAAATAGCTGGTCGTATATTGGGTATGTTTGTTAGGTACTGCTAAAACTTTTCATATTATAAAAGAGAGGACTTCTACTCGCGTAGGAAATTCTGGCATTCACTAGAAAGTCACTGTAATTTATTTATCAGTGCCGAGTATCTGACTGGTGGACGGCGACGATGAAGTTGCAAGAAATGGTTCGTGCACAATTTTAACCAGTAATAGCGATATGATTATTTCTCAGAACCTATTTTGACCCATACCTTTTGGTCGAACTTCATTGAAAACGAAAAGAAAATTACTATCGTTCTCCGTATCTTAATTACTGCGCTATTGACCGTGGTTGACAAAAACCGACCGAAACTCTTAGCGACCCCGATTTTTATCATTCGATCGACTTTAATTAGATCATATAATGCTCCATATGTTAAGGATATCAGCAGAGGCCCACGTAAGTAAAGATCACTTGGTCTAACTCTTAAAATCGCGATACCTAAAGACCCCCTGAATTTATCAGTGATTGTGACGGCTTACTTTGAGTGGGCACTTCTTTACTCGCCAAATCCTCCCGAACCTAAAGCCAAAAGTTACTATAGGGTAGCCCGACAACTTGAAGTACCATTTAGTTAGTATTCAACGACAGTTAACGACTATAAAACAACGGTGGCTATCACCGATGCTGTGCGTACAAAGCTCTCCCTCGAAGTTGGATATAGCGCGGCCTGCCAGCAGAGAGCGTCGACATGTTTACACCCTCTTGTTCCCGTGCGATATAGTGACATTGAACGACGTTGTTCAACTCGCTGACATTGAAGCTCTGCCGCACCCCGTTAGGCCTGCATCTAAATCATTGCTCAGGAGCAATAGTGGATTTATACTAATACACGACATATGAGCATTTCATCTATGTCATATTCTTGAGGATACAACTTATTGCATTTAGGTGCCTACCAATCATAAAACTACTAAATAAATATACACACATATATATATATATATAAGAAAAAAAAAGCCCAGGTAACTCGGAACGCGTGATCATCGTAACCGTGAGCAACAGACAGTTAGAACTGACACTGGTTCAAGTCTTAGCGTTGATATGGCTATTATTATATATTATACAGGAATGACATACAAAGACGAAATAAATTTAGAGAGAGACTATATAGTATAATAAAACAAACAAACAGAGAATTAGCGAAAAGTGTATGATAAAATAATGTATGGACACTTGTTCAGAACATTTTAGTTTGCCCGCTGCAGGATTGGACGCCGGACTCACGAACGTGAACTTCTGATCCCGGCATCCAGTTGTAAGTCCAGCTTATCTACCCATAGAAATTGGTCGAGCACTCAATATCAGCCCACTTTGCAGTTATGTTTGACGTCTGACACGATTACAATACTTGCTACCTAAAATGTAAAAAAATTACCCTATTGAGTATAACGTCTATCGGGAGAAAAAGCATGTTCATACTAGGATTTCAGCGTTTTCAAAAAGCTAGACATTTCTGTACAGCGCCATAAAAATTTCTGCATATCTAAGCAGGGATATACGGCAGAAATATGTGCGTAAATTCGAGGTTAATCAAGTTTGGGAATCATTTGAGCCCTGCATTTATGAGCGCTGTTGTACGGAATAACTCCATGGGGGTATGTGTGAACTGAGCGACCGCCTGACCTCGACGCCGATAGCATTTTCAGCGTTCAAACGACGTCACTTACAAGTTAAACTAGCCATTAGGGTACTGCACCTGAATCAGGCTGCGAGCTGGGGTTTGAAACGGCACTTACGGGTCTTGCACCCTAATGGAGGCTGTACAAGAAGTTCGTAGTGAATTTTATTAACATCGTTATACACGACACTAGACAACTGTATATAATAATAACTGCCGTATACACGCTGTTAGGGGGGTATTTCAAGACAAATTGGATTACTCGACATTTTTATCGTTAATTGTCATTGTTGTATGGCCCATTTTAATCTCTATTCTTGCAAGTGTAAAGCAAGATTCTTTTATTTAGACAATATTAAACGTATCATCGTTTACTTATTTCAATAGCGGGACCTGATATTTTTGAAGTTTTTATGAAACATTTTCAAGTTTACATTTTACGGCGAGCCCCTCGCTGCATATGTGCATAAAAATTTCTTAAACAATATTATAGCTATGTTGGCCATTTGAATTGCTCATCTGGCGTTCTAATCGTTTTCCTTTGCTCTATTTATCTTTTTCAGCATGAGTCCTTTCTCTTTATCCATCGCTGAAATTTCCTAGCAATAAATATATAGTGTTACGTGTCATTGACACAGGACCACGTTATAATGAACGCATTGCGGCCTTCCTTTACGCTGTTAATAGAGGTAGTCCCTCCTCTAACGCACTAATTACCTGATATAATAGCGTTGTTCAATTGGATGAACTGACGAAATTGTCTGCGTAAGACCGTTGTACCAAAAAAACAGTAACCTGCTGGCCTTCTCCATTGCTGCGATTCGAGTTTGTTTCACTCATTAAGAATAGTTCTTTCTAAAATGAGCTCAATGAGAATGACAAGATGATTGTTAGCGGTCCAATACTATAAACGTAATTGAACCGTCATTTTCAGCGCCTTGTCCTACTACTTATATTTAACGGTAAGTGCCACAAGTGATTTGTCTTAACCAACGGAGGTGGGTGACATGGATTACATATTTAACAGCGTTTCCTGCTTTATGGCTAGAACCGGTTAGCGACAACGCAATACGTGATACTGTAGGTAGGTCGCCTTCCGGAAGCTTAGTGTGAACATAGATTTTTATAAAGAAATTATCGTTACATTGTAGTCTTGGTTGCCAATACGTGTCTAATGCTTGGCCTAATGTTAGCTATCAAAGGAAACCAAGCACTAGCCCAATTATCAGTAGAATGATAACTGAATATGCGATCTTGATGTTGCCTGACGCCAAAAAACAGGATGAACGTTTGCGTGAGATCTGTAAAACTTCTTTGGAATGAATCGAAAAGGTTGGAGCCCATAAAGGCAGTATGCACCTTATACAGAAGGATAGGCCAAGGGTTTGGTACCTAACACTATAAAAAAACATGACTTTGGAACGAAAGGTGTTTATTGGTCAGCAGTGTATAATTGTATTGAGAGCCTTGAATGCGCGCGCTGTTGAAGAGTACAGCTGTTTTACTGGAAAACTAAATCTATACTTATGGAGTTAAGTTGACCCAGTGAGTTCGTTGCGCACTTCTATTCAAGGAATGTTTCATTATTTATATCCTCTGAATTACAGGTTATGTTCTGGCTGCCTAAGTTGAAGTCTGGCGTGGCTTTTCATGTGCATGTTCATTTTTGCGGGTCCTTATTCCTTTCCTAGGCCTGATATTATCTCCAGTCTGTAACCGTGGCTGAGTTCGCGTCAGCATGCACAGGTAGATAGCGAGGTTTCGCTATGACTAGGCTTTGGCCAAAATTTAATCTCGGATTTGAAATTCAGATCACTTCTCGTTCGATGGAAACGCACGCGGGGCACTGAGCGCCCATTTAAAGCTCTGTATATTCGTTTTCCTTTTTCTTTTCCATTGCGTCTACGCACAGGTAGCCTTTGACCGTTTTCGACAGTCAAACTCGAAGATACAAGCCATAGCAAAGGGCATTAGCTAACCCTCTTAAGCTGTTTGCACTTTCGTATGCAGCTCATTGAAACTTATTCTTGATGCTCAATAGGGAGACTTCTAGATCATGACTACGTCTCCTGTCGGCCTGTAGGATATTTCTCTCTCAGCTACTTTGTCGGTTTATCATGCCACGTAGATCTGCTGCCCCGCAGGTCACTTTCGCAGCTTAGTTGCCCTCTCGGGGCTGAGCTTGTGCCCATGCGTATTTGCATACGCCCAGTCCGTCATACCGGTTGTCCCTAATCCTTTTGAAATACAGGTGGCTCTGCAATGCTTATAAACCAGAAACAGCCCCGTCCCACAAAAACCCCATTTCAGTCTCTGTCCTATTTAGCATTAGCCATTAAAGCTTTGTACAATATATAAAACCAGCCTCTCCGGACCCTGAGTGGCTCCTGGCAACGTTTATAGAAACGAAAACAATTTACTTTAAATTGTGTCCCGACCGTCCACACCGTACCCATGCAACGGCTTCAAGCAATTTTCGGTACCTTGGCGATACATTTTGGCACCTATTAACGACAGTAAAGTTATGCTTATTTCGCCTCCATAGTTCATACTGATTTTTGGATAAACTGTCAATACTGTCCCAAAAGAGCTTTGGCTATTTGTCGAAAAAAATCTATTCTCGTAAACTTCTAACGAAACCACATGAGCTTGAATATAGCCAAGGAAACAACGAGACTCAGAAGAAGATGCTAAAGAAAGCTGTATAAACCT